ATTAACCCTCTCCCAATTTTAGATGAGGAACTAGTCCCTTTTCTTTTTTTACCCAGAAGCTAAATCTATTAGAGATTACTTCAGCACAGTGAGTTCACAGATAACCACAGTGCTCAGTAGGGTTCAGAATAGAAGAAATAGAAGAAAAATTTTGAATTTTACCTTGTATCAATCAACCACTTAAAGTAATAACAGCCATCATGGCCTACCACAGTAATCCAGTGTGGTAGGAGTTTAGGAAAGCCTGGGTGGATGGATGGTTGGGCGGTGGATGGATGGGTAGTTGAAGCATCTTATGTCCAAAGTCCCTGTTACTAGGGCCCTTGATGTCTTGGACCACAGCTCTGTTCTATTATCACCAGTTGCTGAAAAGAAATGAAATCCTCCCAATGGAATATATTTTGGTACAGAACGTGAAGGAAACTAATTAGCAACTGATAGCATCAGTCCATTCATGTAAATAATGTGTATTGCCTTGCTTACGTGGAATAGTTCTCACCTCTTCTTTTGCCCTTTCTCATTTCAGATCGAAGAACAATTGACCTTGGAAAAACTGCATGAGTGGACCAAACCTGAGAATCTGAGTTCCATTGAAGTCAACGTCCATCTGCCCAAGTTCAAGCTAGAAGAGAGCTACAACCTCAACTCTCACCTGGCCAGTCTAGGTATAGAGGATCTCTTTAATAGCAAGGCTGATCTGTCTGGAATGTCAAGAGCCAGAGATCTTTTTATATCAAAAATTGTCCACAAGTCATTTGTAGAAGTTAATGAGGAGGGCACAGAGGCAGCAGCTGCCACAGCCGGAATTGCCACCTTCTGCATGCTCATGCCAGAGGAAAATTTTGTGGCCGACCATCCATTCATTTTTTTCATTCGACACAATCCCTCAACTAACATCCTGTTCTTAGGCAGACTTTCTTCCCCTTAGAGACTGTGGAAATCCAAGGCCCAGCTCAGACTTTATTACTGGCCCTTTCAATAGTGATAGTTTTCATATATCTTCTACAATAAATCTACCACCCCAAAACAAATCTGTAATTTCCTTTGTAATGTCAACTTTGTTGGCTGTTTACACCCATTAACTTTGGCATAAGTATCTATTTTCGTTTCTTTATACTGAAAAATTTAGTGATTGCTTTTGAATGTATCAATCAGATATGTAGATTCTTGACAGTGTAGTAAACTAAGAAACTGCTGTACTCTCTTGATAGCCATGAGGAAAATTATAGTACTGTAATTTATTTTACAGATAGACTTCTGGAAGCTATGATAAAGAGACAGTCATTGTTGAAGGGAGGCTTAAAAGCAGACATTAAATAGAAATATAGGAGAGCAGCCCAGTTAAGTGTTGGATTATGAAGATAAATTTGCCTTGGCCAGTGTTTCTGACCCTTTGTTCTACAGGATGAGTGTTCTGTTATAGCCGCTCTGACTTCAAAGGATTAAAGAGCTTATTTTCCTTTATCTGCCTGGTTTGTAGTTTGTGTGGGGTCACAGGGAGTGAAGAAGTAAGTGTCTTATCTTAAAAGTTGCCATGAAAGTACAAAAGAGAAGTGAAGTAGGGGAGACTGTTAACCTAGAGGGGGTGCAAGGATCACACTGTTACCAGCTTCTTGTGTCTTTTCTGATGAGGGCTCTTGATTTCCATCATCTAGTCCAGATTGTGATAGCAATGGGATGGTTTTATGCAGTGCTGGGTGGGGGAGGGGCTCTGTGATCATTATAAACCTTCATTAAATGCTCTGCTTGGAATGGGCTTGAAATGCTGCATTTTCTTGCTCCCACAAAGCTGGTGGGCTGGCTAATTACATTTCCTAAGATGCTCCCACAAAGCTGGTGGGCTGGCTAATAACGTTTCCTGAGATTCTGCTAGCCAGGCTGATCTCAGTCCTCTACTTGTTTATATCTGATCTCAGAAAAGACAGGACTAATGGGGTTCTTGGACTGACAATACTGACATCCATGATAATAGTCAGTGGCTCTGTGAAAGAAAAAGAAGATTTTAGCAAATCTGTTGACAAGCTTGTCTTCCTTTTTTTCTTAAAATACTGGCACCTACAACATTTAATGTTCTCTTAGCTATAGAAAAAACAAGAAAAGCAAGTCACTGCATTCTGTAATCCTTCTCTTAGGGCTCTTATGCTAAAATCTACTCAGTGATTTAGAGTAAATTGTGTTGATCAGGTAGAAACTGAACTGCAAGGCCCCATGCAACTCTGCTCAAATCCTTCTTTTTATATATGAGAGAACAGGCTCATGGACTATAAATAAATTATTGAAGGTTAAAACAACTAGTAAATTTCAGAGCAGAAACTAGAATTCAATAAATATTTTTTGTGGAGCCGAAACTGGTTTGGCTCAGTGGATAGAACGTCGGCCTGTGGACTGAAAGGTCCCAGGTTCAATTCCGGTCGAGGGTATGTAACTGGGTTGTGGGCAAATCCCCAGTAGGGGGTGTGCAGGAGGTGGATGATCGATGTTTCTCTCTCATCGATGTTTCTAACTCTCTATCTCTCTCCCTTCTTCTCTGTAAAAAATCAATAAAATATATTTTAAAAAAATATTTTTTGTGGAGAACATCTAATTCTTGTAATGGTGAACTAGATAACTCAGACATTTTAACACAACCAAAAAACCAAACCAAGCAAGCCTGAGCCGAAAGGCAAGGGAGCTGCCATGATTATGAAGAACTCAGCAACCCTGGGTAAATTGGTGACTATGGAAACTGGGGCCACTTTTACCCAGTTCAAGGCCAGGCAGGCAGAATTTTGGCCTGTCAAGTATGGGGGTCCCATTGTGACCCTGTGCTTTCATTTGGCAACATTAGAACTATACTCTAGGAGTATAACTGAAACAGCACAGAATGCAGCCCTGATGTAAGTCCTTGGACAGTCCCCCAAATTCCAGTCCCTGGAATTGGATTACATCTTTATCCAGAGGCATATGCAAAAAGCAAACAAAAATCATCCCTATGGAAAGATTACCCATAAACCTCAAATCCTACATAATAGAAGCCTAATATGCAAATTGTCCCCTTGGGTGGTGTTTTGACTGGGAGTTCTCCTGGGAGACCAGTAGTTCGACTGATGGCTATGACGTGCGCTGACCACCAGGGGACAAGCGCGGACATGGTGGTCATTGGCCATGTGGTGCTGGCAGCAGGCAGCAGTGGAGGTGCTGCTGCTCTGATGGGCCTTGATGAGAGCAAGAGCAGGACCAAGGCAGGATAGTGGAGCAGGTGAGTGAGCGACACCAGGCCAAGGCAGGTTCAACCAGCTGAAATGGGGGTATGGGAGAGGGGGAGCACGCGGAGCCACCGCCCAGCTCCCAGGTGCTGAGGGTGAAAGGGCAAATAGCAATATTAAAATATTTCTTCTAATTATTACCCTTTCTATGTGCATGAATCAGTGTACCAGGCAACTAGTTATTTTTATAACCAGCTTTTTTAAAAAATATATATTTTATTGATTTTTTTTTACAGAGAAGAACGGAGAGGGATAGAGAGCCAGAAACGTCGATGAGAGAGATCCATCAGTTGCCTCCTGCACGCCCCCCAGTGGGGATGTGCCCGCAACCAAGGTACATGCCCCTGACCAAAATCGAACCCGGGACCCCTGAGTCTGCAGACTGATGCTCTATCCACCGAGCCAAACCGGTTCGGCATTTAGCACATAATCAAAGATAAGTGGGATGGGTGAGGAGCTATGACAACATGAATAAAAATTAGCATGAAAAAACAGATAATGCAAACAAGTACAGGGGCTCTAAATATTGCAATAAGCACACACAAATTATAAAACAACACTGTTTTATCATATTGATAAAAACCAAGGTTAAACATTTCAGCAGATAACTAAAAATTTAAAAATACTGCATATTTAAATAAAAATGAAATAGAGCCCAGTCAGGTATGGCTCAATGGTTGAGCACTGACCTATGAACCAGGAGGTTACGGTTTGATTCCCAGTCAGGGCACAAGCCTGGGTTATGGTCTCTACCCCCAGTTGGGGTGTGCAGAAGGCAGACAGCCAATGATTCTTTCTCATCACTGATGTTTCTATTTCTCCCTCCCTCTCCCACTTTCTCTGAAAAGAATTTTAAAATATTTTTTTAAAAAGAACAAAAATGAAATAGAAATCCTAGAACTCAAAATATAACACATGAAAA